TGACAAAGTTACAGCCTGTTCTGACCTTCTCCATTATATCCTATGAGTGAAACAGGCTATAACAGCCATTTTGACTCAAAACAAAAGTTGAAACAAAACAGTGGTCTGTTGAAACATTGAAACGCTGGTTGAAACAAAATGCTTCCCTTTCACACAGCCCTAGTTGTAAGTTCATTAGTAGGTCTAGATTACATGGAGTATCCACCATCTCTTTAGCCAGTACCGCTCAGTACTGGTGCCCTTCTGGACTCTACCTGTAGTAATTCTGCAAGCACAGTTGTGATGTCTTTGCATCAGCACCAGTGCCTTTTGCCATAGGACTGGAAGGGACCTTCTGGTGTTATGAAGTCCTGCCCCCTGCTATTGCAGGTCCCTCTTATATAAGCCTGTCTGTAAACCCGTCAAAATCAACAGTAGGTTTGTCACTTGTGAATTTTAGCCCATTGTGTGGTGCATTCCTGAACGTGAATGTCGGTGTGTACATACTGGATGTAGCTTGGCCGGCACTACTCTAGTCCGCAAGTGTCTTGTTTCAGCCACCTTCAAGGTGAATATTGTTGGAATGGCTTGAGTTCGGTTTGGATTCCTAAATGAATAGATTTAGTGTTGATTTAAGCTGGCAGGAGTTGCCTACAGATTACTCATTACCTAGACTGCCTCATCAGTAATGCACTACTTCGGACAATTTACAGTATATTTATACATACTAGATATTATGAGCTATAAATTAAGGAAAAGGAAGGAAGATGCTTTCACTACTAATATCCTTCGGAAAGTGGAGCTTCAGAAAGTGGAGCTTTTTTTCTCAGCATAAGGATGCTGGAAGTTCAGCAATTAAGGTATGCCTACACTCTAGCCATAGGATTAAATGCAGAGTATTGTAGACATACCCTGGGTAGTTTGGGTACCAGTAGCATTCTAGTCACAGCAGCACTGAGCTCAGTATAGGTTGTTATATCTTGTGAAGTGACAAGGAAAGTTAACCTGTGCTGAAATCTGTGCTGCTACAGCTATATTGCTAGCAGCATCCGAGGTAATGAGAAAATCATGGCGCCATGCTGCAAGCTACATTTATGACTGCAGTGTAAACATAACCATAACAGCAACCTCTGAAGAATGCTGCTTTTAGGTCTTCACCTTCAGAAAATGCTTATGCTCATAACTAAAGAGCCCAGAGGAGCAGCAAGGGTCCCACTAAATAGATGCATATGAACTTCAATTGAAAAAAGTGTTCGTGGAGAAAGCATGTTGATGTTACCATTTATTTATTTTTAAAAGCACACTTGTACTCAAGCATGCTTGCAAGTGTCAGTTACAGGGCATGCATATTCAGTTGCAATAAATGCACGTATAAGTGATGTACCAGCTGGGGATATGAAGGTAATATAATCAAGACCTTAATGAACACACAACTATTTGATAGTTTTTTACATACCATCTAATAACTTTAGTATTTATTCCCCAATGGTAGTTTGTTTTTGGAGTTTTTTAGATGAAATGTTTTAATCGGATTGCTTTTTATTATCTATGGTAAAGCTCAAAAATTAAGTGCGCATTTAGCACGAAAATGGTTCCCCTGTCTTACTTGATTTTTTTTAATTCTGGCTAGTTTTAGGAGTATATTTTCCTCTCACCATGATTAGTAATTTATGTTCTTGTAGTCATGTACTGAGAAAGGAATATATACTTAAATCCTTTTGTGTGAGCTCTCTCTCTTCTTATATTTTTTAAAAACAAACAAAAAACAGTCCCACGGGAGACTAAAAGAACGATGTGTTATTTCCTCCTTTAGACTCCCCTGGAGATCTTATATTTTCTCCTAACTATGAATAAAACAGTTTCCAGCCCTCCACCTAAGTTTTCAGATGTTTTTATCCCATTGTTTTCCTGCATTAGAAATTAGCATGAAAGTGCTTGGCACTTGCCAAAACATGGAAAACCAGGAGGTGGCAGTGTTGGTCCAAAACTCCTCATGGTGAAAAAGCTAGTGATGTGCATTGGACAACGCTTGTGGGAGGATAAGAAGATATTAAGCTGGGAAGTAAGGATACCCAGAAACTAACTCAATTTTGTAAAAACAAAGCAAACAACAAAAGAAAAAACCTGTAAGTCTTTAATTTCTTTGCTGTGCCACAGAATGTATTCTTTTCATAGACTTCCAGAAAGCCTTGTGGGCCATCTTAGTTGAATTAGGAATTTCCAACAAATTAACTGAACTCAATAAAGTTTGTATGCGTGAATCAAGAAACAAATCAGAAACAATGAAAGATAATCAGGCTTCTCAGTTAGAACTGGATTTGGACAGGGAGTTGGTCTGTCTCTGCTGCTATTCAATCTGGCACTGGAAAAAGTAATCAGGAGTATATATGAAGGGAGGAGTTCCCTGAACAGAGAACGTAAAGTCTTTACATATGCTGATGATAGACCTCTCATAAGTAAAAATATGAATGATGTAGAAACTCGGTATACCCAACTAACAAATGTAGCAAAGAGAATTGGACTGCAAATGAACATGGATAAAATAGTGTCTGCTGGTAAATAGGACAGCACTAAACTAGGAACCTCATGTAAAAATAAATTACATGCATTTTAAACAAGTGACCCACTTCAGATGTTTAGGTTCTATCATAGCACAGGATGGTAAAATAAAGAAATTAAGGAAGAATAGAAGCAGGAAGTAGAGCCTATTTTGCACTGCACAAGCTCCTGTCAAGCTTAATCCAAGGAAAGTTTAAATTTCAAGTCCATAGTCAATCCATGTATAAACTATGGCAGTCAGACCTGGGTTCTCTCAAAAGCAAGCAAAATAATACTAGATTGTTTTGAAAGGAAGATTTTAGAGAGAGTCTTTTGTGCACAGTATGATCACATACCAGAAAAATGGCATACAAGCCCCAATAATGAGTTATGTCAGTTGTGTAGACACTGAACCCTGATGCAGGAAATTAGAGCATGACTATAGTGGCTGGGCTATGTCAAAAGACTTGAAGCCATCTAGACACCAAAGAAAGGGCTCCTTGGGGTGCTGGAAGGGAGACAGCTGCTTGGACAACCAAGACAATGGTGGCTAGATGGTGTAATGTCAGACCTACAGAAATTAAATGTGGACGGCTGGAGGATGCAGACATACAACAGATAGGAATGGATGAAGTGGAGGCAGCCAAGGACTTGTAGGGCCTTTAGTACTATGTTGCTCTGCCTGACTTTAGAGATGGGACTTGAACCTCAGGCCCCCCACGCTTCAGGCAAGTGGTCTAATTGCAAGGCAGTCTAAGCAGGAATCCTGGTTTTCTCTGATTTAAAAAAAATCCCCAATTTTTGGTTAAAAAAGTTAACCTCAGTTGGTTAAAAAAGTAACCTCACTAATATATATTTTAGTGGTGTTTCATTTAAATCACTGAAAAATGTGGAATTAGAATTACTTTTTTAACCAAAAATTGGGAATTTTTTTTAAATCAGAGAAAACCAGGATCCCTGCTAATTGGTCTCTTTTCATGGGGTCTGAGGAAAATGTACATGAGATGCCTTCCAGGAAAAGGGCTAGAAGGGACCTCATGAGTTCATTTAGCCCAGATCCCTGCTGAAGGCATGATTGTGCCATTATAAAGACTTTACCTGGGGAGAAGGAACGGTTTATAAATCAGCCCAGCCAAGCGTCCATCTAATTTGCTTTTGAAAATTTCCAGGGATGGAGAGTCCATAACTTCTCTAGGTAGCCTGTTCCAATGCTTAACAAACCTCATAGTCAGTAAGTTCTTCCTAATTTCTAATCTAAATTTCCTTTGCTGAAACTTGAGACCATTGCTTCTTGTCCTGTCCCCTGTGGCCATGGAAAATACTCTATCTCCGTCTTCTCTATAATTGCCTTTTAGACATTTGAAGATGGTTATCAAATAAGTCATGTTTCCCAGACCTCTAATAATGTCCATCATTTTTCACTGGACTCTTTCTGGCTCTCTGTGGGAGCTGTTCTACTTTTGTATGAATAATTAATAATCATTGAGCAAGAGGCACAGTCAGTCTCTCTCTCTCTCTCTCTCTCTCTCTCTCTCTCTCTCTCTCTCTCTCTCTCTCTCTCTCGGCCTCCCTTTCCCCCCGATTTTAACTTAATTTCTATTGGACCCTTCTTGATGATATTTTCATCAGAACTGATGTTTATACAGAATGTTTTGCTTTTAACAAAAAGAAAGAGTTGAAGAAATGTTGACCAGCTCTAATAGAAAGTAGCACTTACTTATCATATTATGAACCTACATTCTGTAAAGAAATAGTTTTGTTTTTTTTTTAAATGTAGGGTAAGGACTGAAATTGGTCACATGATGTTTTGTTTCCTTTAAGTTCTGGATTCAAAGCTTGACTTGTGTCAGAAATGAATGTATTATTGGTTCATTCTTACGCCTTAGGGGGCGTTTTTTCATGTGAAAAGTTAGTACATAAGAACATTTGGAGCACATAGCACCCTTTTGAATAGAGCCTGCCAGAACTGCCATAGAAGAGATGTTGTTAGTAAAGAAGAATGCATTTATGCTAGCACTCACCATTTGTTCCCATAAATGTTGCATGCCACATTAAAGGTATGTATGAGATATAGTTTACAGAGTTCATGGTGAATCTCTGCACAGCAGTGAATGTACATTTGGAATAATGCAACATGCATTGGCGTAATAGGAATGAATGAGTGCTGTTGCTGCTGCTGCTGGCTTTGAATAGCTTAATACATGATTTTAGCAGTAAATATTTGATTGCAAAAACTAGCACGTCTTTCTAAAAAGCATGTGAAGCTGTAATTGGTGTCCCATAATATTCCATAATACTGTTCATTCTCTCTCTCTCTCTCTCTCTCTCAGCCACTTTATCCATATAAGGGTCTGACAAAAAATACTGTACCATTTATTTTACAGGCAAATGTAAGCATAGGTTAATCTGGAATGCTATATACTCATATTTCTACTTCTACTGGCAATTTAATGTTTAAATTTTTCCTCTTTTTCCAATGACAGGAAGACTGCAAGAAACTTCAACCAACCAATGTGCAAAGCTGCCAGAAAAACTGTGGTAGAGGTAAGAAAGAAAGAAAATGGTGTTACTGTTGCTTGTCCTCAAGTAAAGTCCTTTACGATGTTAAATAATTTCAAAGTTAAATTAATACTTCATGAAACAATGAGCCAAGAAAGGATTTGTTGTCACATTGTAACTACTGTACTGCTGTGTAAACTTTAGAATGTGCCTTATTGATTTCTGTATTCTCTGTGGGACACACTTTTTAGTAGCTGTATAATGTACATGTCTCACTGCAGGTCAGGATCCACTGAAAGTTAAAGCATCCAAACTTGAATGAGAGATAGGAAAGCAGTGACAGCGTAGCCGTGTTGTTGGACCCTGATATTGAACCTAGCACAATCTGCAAGGTCTTCCATTGGTGGCAAAAGGAAATCCTAATGAACAGAGGGTACTGCAGGATCTCAGTCTACCTAGTAAATGCCTGCAATCACCAGAAAAACCTGGGCACTGGTGATAGGATGTGCCCCTACAGTAAGCCCTTTGTCATCCACTTTACTGAACCATATAAACTGCAACAAGTTGTGTTCGCTCCCTGTCTTTCAACAACACTTTAATTGTGGATGCCATAGGGCAGACCCTTCATGTTTTAAGATTTCATTCTTTTTATAAAATAAAATGCACAATACTTGTTGTTATTATATATGATACTATACTACCATTATATATTAGAGCTATAAAACACATTTGACAAAATGCATTTACAGATTTATTTTGTGATAGAGGTGTCTTCCTGTTTAGGTTGCTAATTTTCAAATTTAATTAACTCACTATGAGATCCCCATTGCTGATACGGAATAGAGAGGTCCAGATTTTTCTTATTAAAAAGATTAATGTAATGTATGCTCCACAACATACCATAAACCAGTGAGTAAAGTTTAATTAGAGAATAATAGCATGTGCCCTTTTAATTCACATTGCCTTAGAAGACTGTGAGTGAAAAAGAGAAGAGTTTACATTTGCAGTTACCAGTATTCTAGATTGAACCACATAAATGAACAGGTTGCTGCTCAGCACAGCAGTGTCCAGAAGATGGTCAAACTTCTCTCTTACTCCTTTGAAGGCTGTCTCTGTTTAATTAAAGTTCTCTAAGTTTTGAAAGTAACAGGGAAACTGTTCTTGAGCACTCTTGGAGGGTTCTAAGTTGAATCTTGACTTCACTTCCTTTGCAAGCATTTTATACTGGCCAACTTTATATGAATCATAAAATCCAATCCAATTCCCTACATCAGATAGATGCTTTTTTTCCTCCAAAAATCTCCAGTGAAAGAGATTCTACAGCTTCCCCAAGTAGCTTGTTTTAATGTTCAACTGTTCTGACAATAAGGACATTAAAAAAAAATCTAAATATGCTTTGCTGCCATTGAACCCCTTGCTTCATGTCCTGCCCTCTCTAGCAAGGGAGAACAATTGTTATGGCAGACTTTCAGATATTTGAAAAATGCTATTATGTCTCTCTTTTAATCTTTTTTCCAAACCAGATATATCTAATTGTCTTAATAGCTCATCATACAGCTTGCATTCCAGCTGCTTTATCCTTCTTGCTATTTACCTGTAGATTGTCTCTGATTTCTCTACATCCTCCCTAAAATGCAGAGCCCAGAATGAGACACAGTACTCCATCTTGGGCCAAGTAAAGTGATATGATCACCTCCTGTATCTTATATACAGGGCTTCTGCTAATGCAGCTCAAAATTTCATTTCCCTTTTTTTTTGTAACTGCATCACAATTATATTGCCAAGTCAGGTAAGTCTTCCTCCCGCCCCCCCCACACACAGTTTTTTCAATTGGAGTTTCTTCCCTAAATATAGAACTTTACATTTGTCTTTGCTGAATTTCCTTTTGTCTCTAGCCCAGGTCTCTAATTTATCAAGGTCCTTTTGAATTCCACTCCTATCCTCCAAAGTGTTTACAGCCCCTGCCAGTTTGTCACTTGCAAACTTGGTAAGAATGCCCTCTCTCCCTGCTTTCAGGTCATTACTGTATTTATCCAAATCCAGGATGACTTCAAATTTAAGATGACCCCTGCAATAATTAGATTGTATGCATAGAAAATTATACATTTGCTGTAATTTTCCTTGTGTATAATCTAATTAGTAAAAGTTCATTTTAAATTTGTCTCCCCCCTCTTCTGCCCCCAAAAGCTGTGGCAGGGAAAGGGGCCAAACCCCTGCCTTTGTCTTCCTGCACTTTGCCCTCCCTGCCTGCTTCCCCTTCCCTCCAATTTTGTCTTGGGTTCCAGTAAATACGGTAATTAGAATGGTCAGTAGCGTTGGATGCAAGACGGACCCCTGTGGAACCCCACTTGAAACCTCCTATGTCTCTGATGTCCAAAATGTTTTGTCCACTGCCACCACCTTGTCCACCAAACTGGTTACCTGTCGAAGAAGGAAATTGAGTTTGGCATGATTTCTTTCTAACAAGGCCTTGCTGACTGCTAGTGGTCACTCTTTCTTCCTCCACGTATTTACAACTTGATTGTTTTCTAATTTGTACTAGTAGCTTCCCAGATATTGAAATGAAGCTTGACTGGTCAGTAATTCCTAGTGCTTTGAGCACTGGTCTTCTCTTCTAGGTCTGTTTATGCACTTTACGTTAAACAGGTTTTGGAAACAATACAGCAACAGTCCTGGTAGCAATGGTTAGAACCCAGGTCTTCTCCCTCCCAACTGAGTGCTCTCTCTAAACACTAGGTAACTAGTCAGTCTCTCTCTTGCCCTCTCTTTCTGGCTCATTAAATTCATTTCCACACAGTGACACAGCCTCATCAGGGGTCAAGAGCACCCTAGCCCATAGCCAAGTGGTTATGGGACTTGCCTGTGATGTGGGAGATGGGGGCTCGAATCCCTCAGGGAGGTGATGAAGTTGAAATGTGTTCTCTGCTTCTTGGGTGAGTGCTTCAACCACTAGGCTGTTCTGCACAAGGTGACCATCTCCTGCTGTGTTTGGAAAGAAGGCACCAACTGCAACTGAATTCTGTGAGGACCCAGTTCTGTTAATGTGTATTAGGTGAGCACCAAGAATGCTTCCCAAATCAAGCTCCTAAGGGCATACCATGGACAGAGATGAGACGTTTATCTCTGTATAGATAAGAGCCTTAATCATGGCTCTTAGGCTTAACTGTCAGCTAGGCATTGGGCTACTCAGCTTTGTCAAGACAGGCATATGCAGAGAGGTACTATTCCCTTTCGCACAAAACTTTTAAAGCCAAATGGGGAGATGCCTGTGGAGTTCAGTCCCCAGTGTTGGGCATCAAATTATGTTGTAGGCAGGAAGGGGAGTTGGATCACCAAGTCACATTTTCCTTTTTCTCCCTTAAATATCCAGATGTATACTGCCAGAAGCTACATATGTGACCCAGAGTGATGCTGGTAACTGTGACAGAAATATGTTGCATGGCTCTATGTATTTTTGGATTCTTTTGGGATTTTTTTGTTAATGTGAGCTGTATAAATTTGTATAGGTTTATACAGATCATGCTATGTGATTCAGTAAGCATTTTATTTTTTTCCTTTCACTCTTTATTTTTATGTACCTTCCTTTTATCACGTTGGGGAAAAAATCTCTTAACAAAGTGCAATTTGCATCCATTGAGTTTAAAATTGTACTAGGATAATAGTATAACCTCCATTATATGAGAGGCCACTGAATTTCACTGTATTACCTCTTCACTGAGACCAAATATCCCATGTTTGATTAAAATGTAGGTTAGAATTTTGACTGTTCCATGGTGGTATTTGAGCATGGTTCTCAGTAATGGATCTATGACAGATCCCTTTGAGGTTAAGATGGGAGTTAAGGATGGCTCCAACATTCTTCTTGGTATTCCTTGCCATGAAGCTACATCTGACTACCAACAAGCTTCCAGTCAGAGTGGAGCTAAACTACCAAATTAATGGTAAGCTGTTAAATTTTAGCTGACTTCAGACCAGAACCAAAACCACCCCAACCTCAGTCATCAAGCTCCAGTACACTGATGATGCTATAGTGTGTGCTCACTTAGAAGCAGACTTTCAAGCAGTTGTTAATGTCTTTAGCAAGGCATACAAGAAAATGGGACTGATGCTTAACATTCAGAGGACTAAGGTCCTCCATTAACAAGTTCTCAATAAGCAGTCCCTGGCTCCAGTAATTTAGAGTCACAGTGAGACTCTGGTGTACGTTGAGTATTTCCTGTTCTTCGGGAGCCATCTCTTACATATTTGAGGCAATGTCAGTGTTTTGCAAGTGCAGCCTTTGGACACCTGAGGAGATGTTGACGATTGCAGCATCAGAGCTGAGACCAAGCTCATGGTTTATCAAGCAGTTGTGATTCCCACCTTACTGTATTTAGCTGAGCTATGGACAACATGGAGGAGACACCTCAAGTTGTTAGACAAAAGTACCATCAGTGCTGCCTGTGGAAGATCCTTTGAATGCAGCAGGAAGACAGAGGCTCCAATATTAGTGTCCTCTTGCAAGCAAACATGATGAGCATTGAGGCAATGATCATTCAACATCAACTTTGCTGAGCTGGCCACATCATCCAAATGTCCAACTCCAGACTCCTGAAACAAGTTTTATTCTCCCAGCTCAGCCAAGATGTATGCTTAAGAGGAGGGCAGAGAAAGTGCTTCAAGGACATCCTCAAAGCCAACTTAAAAGGCATCATTGACATCAACTTGTGGGACACTATTGCCCAGGACCACCCCAAATGGAGGGAGAGTCTGCTGCAAGCATAGCATAGCACTTTGAAACGTTACAATGACAATAGGAGATAGAAAAGCAGGATCAGCAGAAACACCATGTTGCTGATCGAATCAAGAATCCAGAGCCACCCAGCCCACACGGAAACATGTGTCTGAGTTGTAGCAGACCCTGTCGATCCCGGTTCAGCTTTGTCAGCCATCTTCAGACCCACATATAAGACAATTGTGGAAGATTGTCATCCTTGACTGTGAGGAATTGCCAAAGATAAAGAAGAATTTTGGCTATAGAATGTATTCCAGGGGGGCATCCACTC